TGGTTCACAAGTCATAGTCAATTTGTTGATAAACCGACTAATGTATTGTAGTTTGCCAAGAAACCGTCTAATTTCTTTTTCTGTTTGAGGGGAAGACATATCAACTATTGCCTTTATTTTAGAGGGATCGATCTCAATACCACGTGTGCTTACTACGTATCCGAGTAACTTGCCATAAGTTACTCCGAAGGCGCATTTTTGTGGATTCAATCGCATATTATATTTTTTTATGCAAGTGAAAAATTTGCGTAAAGCTTTTATGTGTCCCATTCTATCTTTGGAATTCACAATCATATCATCCACATACACTTCTATTTCTTTATGCATCATATCATGCAAGAGAGTCGTAGCAGTTCTTTGGTACGTAGCTCCTGCATTTTTTAGATCAAATGGCATGATTGTGTAGCAATAGAGTTCAAGAGATAATTAGCACTAATCGTAAGTTTACCCATGCCCAAATTGGTCTACGTGTACCAGAAATGAGTTCGGGAGAGAGGGTACTAAAATAACTTTCCTTTTAGGGAGGAACCGCTATTCTAGCCCTAGTTACGGCCTCTACTAACTCTTCCTTTTTCACAGTTTCATCACCAAACAATATATACAATGTGGTACCTAATACTAAGTTAGTTGATTTTACTTTCGTGCCTCATAATCTTTATCCAAATTTTATATGGTTGGATAGATCTTGAAATTATCTTTCCAATGATATATTATAATATTAATTCCAAGCTATAACAAAAAAGATATGAATGAGATATAAAACTCTATCCAAAACTGACACCGTCCTACTATTTCAGAAATATCTTTTTATATAAAAAATATTTTAATCTGATTCTAATTGGGTTGGAAAGTAGACTTCAAGAGATTTCCAACGACATATCATTTGCCTTATTTAGACTTCTGGATAAAAAGATATGATAAAAATAAAATCCGCAAAAACTGTTATCCATCGAATTTTATTTCGATTCGAATTCGGATTCTTTTCTTATTCTTCGACTCTCTTTTTTCTTTATAAATAGAGGTCATATCTCCCCTTTTTCAATCACCAACTCTCATCAAGAATTTCTTTATTCTCTCTCTCTTTCTAAACCAACCCTTTTACAAACACAATTTCTTATACATTAGCACTAGACACACCTAGCATAATTCGAAGTTGCCTTTGCCCTAGACATGAAAGGTTTTAATTTCTGAGGGTTTGGTCCCAAATCTCTCTTTCAATTATTATTTAATTTAATTTTTTGATTATTATTTTCCTTGAAGTTACTAACATGTATATTTTGTTATTAGAAAGAGATACGGGGCATCCAAGTAAGTTCTTTAATTGTTTGTGATTTGGGTATTTTTACCCGGCCAGGTGGCCCAATCAGAAATTGCCATGTGTCACTGGTAAAGGTGCCATCTGGACCATTGAGATGGTGACACGTGGTGGGTGAACATTCGGGGCACCACGAACAACTGCTTCAGTCTCAAGCGGGAGCTCGATCGTCTGGCCGACAAAGGACAGCTGAAGTCCTATGTGAAGTCCAAAGTGACTTCAAAGGCAAATCCGGGGCAGTCCAAGAAAAAGACTCACCAGCCTGCTGTGAGTGCCGAAACTGATGAAGATCCGGTATACACCATAGCAGGCGGATTTGCCGGTGGTGGCCCGACCATTCGGGGCACCAAGGACCATCTGAGAAAGATGGTCAACTTTGTTGAGGAAGGAGAGGCGGCAGGCACATCCGCCTTCCCTAAAGTTGTCATCACCGAGCAGGACAGAGGCAAAGTCCGTCGGCCGCATGATGACCCTGTGGTCATTGAATGCAAGGTGGCCAACTAGCTGGTTGGTCGAATTCTGATTGACACAGGAAGCTCCTCAGACCTCATCAGCTTCAAATGCTTATTCAATCTCAAGTACAAACCAGATAGCATGATGGAGGTCTCCCCCACCCTTGTTGGGTTTGGGGGAGGGCTTGTGCACCCAGTCGGACGCATTGATTTACCTGTTCGCCTGAGAAATAGGGGAGAAGGTCGGCACATGACCATCCGTTTCCTAGTGGTTGAAGAGCTCACAGCTTACAACCTCATCTTTGGCTGCCCCACTCTAAATGAGTGTAAGTCCGTCATCATCCCTGCTCTCATGCTGCTCAAGTATGAGAAGGATGATGGAATAATCGGTTCCCTTAATGGGGACCAAAATATGGCTCGAGAGTGTTATCTCTCGGACGTCAAGCCTACGGCCATAGCATCCGGCCGGGGCAAGAAAATGATCAACCTCGACGATGTCGAGGAAGAACAGTCGGCTCCACCAGCCGAAAAGAAAAGAAAGACTGATCAGCTGGTGGTGGTCAAAAAAGAAAAACAATAGCAATCACTGACCGGGGAACGGTCGGATGATCTCCGTCCCCAGCCTGCTGGCGAACACATTGATATCCCTCTGGACGACAGCCGCCCAGAGCGGACGGTTAAGGTAGGGACGGTTGCATTTTCAAAGCTGGGTGAGGGCCTGCACCAGCTGTTGAGAGAATTCAAAGACATCTTTTCCTTTGAAGTGGAAGAGATGTCAGGCATCAGCCCGGATCTCGTTGTCCACAAACTCGTCGTGGATCCTAAAAAGAAGCCCATCCGGCAAAAGAAAAGAAACCATGGCGAGGAAAGAAGTCAGGCGGCAGCCGCCGAAGTTAAAAAGCTGCTTGACGCCAAGTTCATTCGGCCGTGCAATTTCCCTGAATGGGTAGCTGCAACGTACCCGATGATCCACCTACAGCATTTCACATGCGGCAACGTACCCGATGATATTGATCCATGAATTCGGGACAAGTTGCCAGATACCCAGTTGGTATCCGTCCAGTATTCTCTCCACGGCCGGATGGGGAGGGAAGTGTAGACCAGCCTGAAGGACCGCCTCGTAGCAGCCGAATGCTTGGTCCTTATAACTGGCCAGGGTCGGCCAGGTTATCGTGTCATCCTTGTTGGGAACGGACAAGGAAAAACCATGACCTATTACGGTCTTGCGCTTGAAATTAGCAAGACCAGATGTCATAGAGGTTCGCTTGCTTTGCGGAACATGGTGATAGTAGGGGGCGCGTTCCAAGCGCCTAGAAGCACTCGGCTCCGCCCAGCCTTCCCCTTTTCCACTGACAAGGATTCCCTTGCAGTGCTTATTTTTGCTCGGGCCTCCTCTGAGGTAACGGAGGCATTATCAGAAGATGACGAGGCCGAATCGTCATCAGAACTCTCCCCAGAGCTAGGGGACTGCCGGCTAGGGCTAGCAGGGTCCTCCCCTAGACTCTCCTCCGACGCTTGTTCTGAAGGCTCGGCCTGGTACTGACTGTCGGCTTCCCGCAGTATAGTATCACTGGGGGTGTCGCTTGAAGAAGAGGAAGAGTAATAAGTTGGAGTTGGGGGAAGGTCAGAAGAAGGGTTTGGGGGGTGCTCAGAAATTTCGCTAGCAGGCACCCTAATGGAGCCGTCAGAGTTTACAGTTTCACTGTCCGAATGATAAAAGGAACCATCCGGCCTATATCTCCTTGTTGTCTGCTTTGTTCGAGCCATCGTGTCCTGCAGATGCACAGACACTGTCGGATTTGGAGATGTACTTAAAGGAAAGTTCTCGAACGAGCATTCGGCACTCCTAGTTCTAGATTCAGCCGTCCCCGGTGACCGGCTGATCGCTAACCTAGGCCGTGCCGTGTACGTTTGGGAAACCATTTGATAAATGAAAAATGCAAGAAAGAATAAAAGAAAAGAGCAGGCGGTTACCTTAGAAGAAGGTATTACGAGACGCCTGGTTGGCTGAAGCAGACGGACAGAGAGCCCAGCGTCGGATGTTGGAATTGAATTTTAGAATTTGAAATATTGATATTCAATTTCAATATTGGGTGTTTAGGAAATATCATAATTTCATTTCCAAAATTTCAAATTCTAACCTATGTTTGGAGATGAGTGAAATTTTAAATTAAGTAAATGAAATTATACTTTTAACTCACACTAATTTCCTTTCTCTCTCTTCCATAATCTTCAATTCCCAAATTTTCATCTCTTCCTCTACTCAATCTTAAATTCCCAAAGTTTCAACCTCTTCCCCTATATTTTTCTTGTCCTCAATCTTAAATCCTCAAATTTGCTTTGCTTGCCTCAATGTTGGTATCAAGTTGCAATGTTGGTTCAATGGAGGAGAGAGAAAGCTCGTGCGCCACTTCAATGGAGAACTCGAAGAGCTGATGCAAATTTTGGAAATTGGTCTAGCAAATTTCAAAAATTGGTCGATCAAATTTCAGCTATTTTAAATAAGGTACACTCTATGGTTGAGCAAGAAATTTGAAGCTCGCTTCAATGGAGGGGCAAGAGAACTTGTGTATGCTTCAACAGTGAAGAACCCTAGGAGCGAGAAAAAATTGGGGAAGAGGATAAAAACTTTTGTATGACATAGGAGAGAAAGAGAGTTGAGCTATTTTTCATTAAATATAAGAATTTGAAATGACATGTTTATAATTGGAATTTCAATATATCAAAATATACTCATCTTTATAATCTTGGATTTGGGCATATTTCAATTCCCAAATTTTAAATACATCCAAAAACATAAATGGGTTACCAAACAGGTCACTTATAATTTTTTTTTGCTCGTATAATTGCAAATTGCAAATGCCAAGTCTTTATAATTTTAGACGTAAAGGTATGCGCGAGACCAAGATTCCGTATAATACAAATTTTAAAATACTACCGTAAAGCAACAATAAATAGCCACCATAACAATTGATCTTGAACTCAGGACGAACATGAACTAGAGTCCATATCCAAGTTCAACTTTTCAGAGTCAGCTTAATTTCAGCCTCGGATTCTGATTATACTTTAACGAATCAGACTATTTCCTTCAAATCGAGTTGGATTCAAGTCGAACTTGTTGCCTTCCATCGTTATTGGCCATAGAGATTATTAGACTGTGTTAGGTTTCCTCAATAACGTACTCATTTGAAAAGGAAAAAAAAAAGTACGCATTTAAAAATCATGCAGATGGCTTGTAGGCAACAAAACACAAGGATTAGCAAAATAGTCATAGAAACCAACACAATATTTCCATGTTCTGACTCACTGTAATATTGTGAAATTAAAATCATAATGCCCTGGTGTAGATCAGTGATTGCAGAAGTTGAAGAGAAAAAACTAGAAATTGTCCATGACGGCAGAACTTCAGAATACAACAGTGTCTAGCATAGTACCCAATGTCTGAACTATGTTAGAGGACATCAAGTTCGAGACATGTTCTTCAAGATGCTTCTTTGCATCTTGTCTTCCCACATTAGCAATTGCAAGCTTCTCTGGGGACAACTCATCCTCCTCTTGAACAGCCTTGTTGTATTTTATCGCAAGATTCAGCATTTCCTGCAAAATTTGGAATGTCAGTAAACACATTTTTAGAATTCCTCGCACAGATTATGTCATAATATTAGTGTAGCAAGAACAAAATGCTTGTGAAAACTTGGACAAGTGAGAAATTCCCAATCCTGAATCCACCTTTTTATTTCTTTTTTTATTAAACCACACAATTCTCAATCAAGTTAAATCTTGCTATTCAATATATGGTTGGTTGAGGTTTCCAAACCACATTCTAATTTAAGCTCACTAAATGCCAACCCATGGTTGAACCCTACTGAATACTGATACCTAAGAGATTGGAGGTGATATGCAAGAATCCCCTATCAAAAAATTTCTGCACTAAACTTCAGAATATAACTGTCACATTTTAAAACCAACTAGTTCCTACTTTTATTGTTTCATTCATCAATATAAAGCTACATTTTGAAACATTCTTTAAATTTATAGTGATCTACTGTATTAGGTTAGCTTAAGGGTAATATGATGATAAATATTACACTAATTTATGACCTCAAGGTAATATCACTAATATGATGATAAATACTACTCCGTACAATCAGCAGTCAATTTAGAATGGTGAACAACTACAGGCCACACTAGATGAACTAAAAGGTAATGCTACTACCACAAATATCTAATAGGAATTCGGATATGTAAGGTGGGATTCAACAAAAAAAATCCTAACTCATTGTCCTGTTAACGGAACAAACAATTCATTCTCTAACATCTTTGAATTTTTTGTTTTTCTTTCTTATTTTTCTTTCTCGAACAAGTCATTTGACTTCTCCAGTAAGCTTCCACTTTGATGGGCATGATAATATTATCTATTAGCCAGTTCAACTCTTGTAAGCTTTACTTTGATAAGGCATAAATAGCATCAGTTACACCATGTTTGGATTTAGACTGAGAAATGAAGGAAATTGTCATCCCTTGTTTGGATAGCATATGGAAAGAGGAAAGAGGAGAAAATTTGGAATGACCCATTTTCCTTCCCCTTTAATAAACCAAATCCTTTCAATATTGAAAAGATTTGGAAAGATCTAAGCTCACTCTCTCCTCTCTCCTTCCTTTCCTTTCCCTTCTTTAAACTCTTCTCCCTTCCCTTTCCCTTCATAATTTATATCCAACCATAGTGTTATGGATAACTTATAAATGGTAAAGCTTGATATTGAGCAATTGCTACAAATCTTAAATTCAAAATTCCTACATACCTGGACAGTCTGTTCGTTGGTCTTAGAATGAGAATCAAATCTCTTAAGTGTCAATCCATCAGTCCATTTCTTTTTGTGAAGGTTCAGTAACATCTTCTCTTCAAGTTCGTTCTTCCTGTAGTTGATGGCTATGGAATAGTAATGTCTGTTCAGCCCATGTATCAATGCCTGGAAAGGACATATCAATCAGAGAGAGAACTATAATTGTCAAATGCAAATATGAGTATCCATACAAAATCCAGTCCTCACTAACCTGGATAGAGGGTTTATTAAGATGCCCAAGGTTGGATGTTGTCTGGCGAGGCTCTTGACCAAGCATCATGGTCTGTGGGTTGATTAAACGAAAGGCATCAATAACAACCTTCCCCTTGACACTCTGTATAGGATCCACCACTACGGCAACAGCTCTTTGATTTAAAGCTTCAAAACTCTGCAGTCATTAAGCAAAAGTTAACAGAGTTTATTGAAAACTAGCCTTCTTATTGTTAATGAGATAGTTACAGATAAAGCACATACTAGAAAGCAGAGTTGATACAACTATTTTATTCTTTGAATGGATTATTGACAAATGTCGACAGTAAATAAAGTTGTCAGAACTCAGAAGACTAACAAAACATAAAAGACACATATGTATATGCAGATTGGAGATTAGAGGGGGGGCACTACTTAGATCCACCATGGTCCAGTCTAATTGGGTCATAGTCACCCAACAATCAACACTAGCAGCACCAAAAATGGAGGAGAATCATGGAAATGTTCAAATTACTATCCCATGCATTGACAAATTCATCCCAAGCCCATAAATGTGTAACACTACCAACATCCAAAACAAATGACTAGCTCCTTATAACTGCTGGAAAATTACAAAGACTGGACCACGCTCAGAGGACATGTAGAGAAAGCCAATGACTAGCAGCAAATAACCAATAAAGCTAAAACAAAATTATTCAGACCTGTTGAGTGTTGATATCTACTCCAGAAAGCCAGCAACCAAATCCAGGATGCGAGTGGTACCATCCAACAACCATCTCTGGCCTGTAAAATGAAGAAAAAATATTTAACGCAGCTGATTCACAGAAAGAATGAATAGCATACAGTGTCAAAAAAAAATTAATTAAATAAAATTGAATACAGTAGCACAGAACATAAACTGAAAAACACCACTTTCCCAATTATATCAATGCTGTAATGTAATAAAGATATATATATCAAACAAATAACCCACCGAATAAAAGGAAAACAGGAACCCCAAAGGTAAGGCCCATAAGGTTAATATCATGAGTTGAATTATTATCAAGTGATTTATGGGGTATAGTTTTAGTGGTAACCCTGAGATTTGATGATTTAATTCAACCATCAAATTCCATTTGTGCTCTTGAACCACCAACGATGAGAGAACACTGGTGAGAAAAGAACTGTGGTGGTGCAAGATAAAGGCAACTGCTATGGAATAATGATGGTGGTGGGAGAATAATGAGGGAGGCAAGAGAATCAGTGAGAGAAGATGGTGCCACAAGAATGTTTGGAATTAACCTACAAGAGAGAATGTCTTTTCCTTTTTTTTGGTGGTGGTGGTGGGGGGGTTATTGCCCAAATGTGTAAAAAAGTATGAGCCCAAAAAATTAACCTCATTCCAGGTGTTTCATTTAGGTCAATAACAATTACCTAAGCGAGCCCTACTCCAAGCATACCCATAAAAGGTATGGTATGAACACTCCGATCTAGATGATAGGGAAAAACTAACACAATATAATAGCAAAACGTAATGGTGTGCATTGTGATTCAATAATATATGAAGTATCAATTCATTCCAAAGCACTAGAACACTATAAGGTGGTATCAATTCTTTAACCTTGGTCAAAGTGAAGGAGAAGACATTTCTTTAATCTTGGTCAAAGTGAAGGAGAAGACATTTCACCAGGAATGCAATAGCTAAAGGATTGCTTCAAGTTTTTTTTTTTTGGGGGGGGCGATTAGTCACCAATTAGATAATTGAAACAATGAACCAGAAAATGTTTTTTAAAAAAAAAAAGAAAAGAAAAGAAAAAAGAAAAAAAAAAAGAGCCAGGGGGTAATAGCAGGTAATTAACTCTTAAACTAACCCATGTCTTGCTAAAAAAAATAGAAGAATAGCCAAGTTTGACTTGTAAGAGAGATAAATAGTTAAAAATCAACAAGAAGCACAGCCAGACGCCACTACTATCTCTCTTCACCTTTTCCCTTTACTTCATGACAAAATACTTTGAAATGCTTCAAAAAAAATGAGAACACCATAATGAAATCTAGAAAGACGGAACACAATTTATGATTTCTCAAAAGCACAAACAAATATAATACATGAATAAAAGTAATATATATAACGAGTAGGTTACAACAATCACCAATTAAAACCTATCATACATGATTTTTGCTTAAACAGTAAAGGCGAATTGACCCACACCGAGAATAGATAAATCTAGCATAAATAGAACAAAAACTTTGAGCACCTCAAATTCACATTTACAGGATGAACAACATATTAAAATATCCATGATACAGCAGGTAACAGCAGAACAATCCACAAAATTTAGAAATATTTTAGACAAGCAGAAAGTTAACAAAAAGAACGGCTAATCTATCAGCAGATTAATCGACCAGAGAATATGATCCAAATTTTGTCAAAATATGAGGCTGGGACAATAGTACTTGCTACAAGGACTTCTAATTAACACAACCATACAAAGGTTTGAATTCTTTGACAATCATGCTGAGCTAAAACCTTCTGAAAACATTCCAAGTAGCTTGAACATGATTCGACAATAATCCAAGATCAAAGAACTAGGCGTAAAAAGATATTGAGGCAATGCCATACCAATCATACTATACTCTTTCTAGCTTAAAATTCTTAGCGAAATGCCAAAATCATATTCCATGAACCTAATAGAACACCTACTTGAGAAAATGAAAATGAACAACATTCTGCCCTTTCAACCTTCAGTTTTGCATTCTCAATCATCTTCAAGAAGGGGTCTTCATAATTTTTTCCCCACCTCAAAACTCAAAACCATAGAAAGACCACAGAGATTGCATAAAATCCAAATTTATAGAATTCACGTCCTTGTTGACATAAAATGCGAGCCACACTCCTACAGCCTTGTTTTATGTACCTTAAACGTCTTCATCACAAATAAATTCTAAGTTTATATCAATTTCAATATATACAAGTTTGAATTGATTCGAAACAAGTCTACTAATTTCAAAACCCCAATTCTTTCAATAAGACTACTGTTGATAGAATTAAAAAGCTGATCCACTAAATCTAAATTACATTTACAAAAATCTAGCACAATACAAGACAAAACCCTAAAAAATCAAAACAAAAAATGAAAAGAATACCTTCCAGTTTGCTTAAGCATATCAAGCATGTTAGTCTGGAAAACATGGTCAACAGCTTCAACACTAACACCAGTACCACTCTGCGGCATAGCGAAAACATCAACAACCCTAACAGTATACTCATCCACAAATTCACCCAACATCAATCCCATAACTTCCATAGGAACACCAGCTCTACCTACAAATCCAATTCAAAATTTAAAATCCAATTCACAAAATCCCAAATAAAAATTAGGGTTTATGAAATCACCATGTTTGAGCATCTTAAGGAGAGCAAGGGAGGAGATGTAGACTTGTTCGGAGGTGTCAAGGGTTGGAGAATCGGGAGGTGGGTGGCCGAGTGCTCCTCCGGCGCCGGCAAACATTCTGGTGAGTCTGTCCATCGTATCTTCTCTCTTTCTCTCTGGTTTACTGGAAATCAGGAGGTGGATGTGTTTCGATTTGTTTTTTAGAGAGGAGAAGTGAGAGATCGGAATCGTGTTTTCTTTTTGTGCACGAAACTGAATACAGATGGTAATTAGGATGGCAACGGGTCGGATTTGAAGCGGATTATGCTAAATTCGACTCTGACCCGATAGGAAGTCGGAGGTTAAATCCGAAATCCGACTCCGACTCCGACTTTTATATCCGACCTCCGACTCCGATTTTTTTTTTCATTATTCAATATACTTTGAGATATTGGGCTATTTGGGCCTTTACAACCCACACCCAATGCCACCATGATCCACACAAAAAAATCACTATCTATTGGAGTCGGAGTCGGATAATCCGTTAAAGTCGGACATTTTTCGGAGTACGATTTTTTTCTCGGATTTTTTGTAGGATCCGACTCCGACCCTCCTCCGACTCGGAGTCG